TCGGCAGTTTACAACAGGGGTCTCCTGCCCCTGCCCGGGGGCGCCGCTCCATCTTCCCCGACGCGGCGCCCGGTGCTGCTGTTCTTCGCGGTCTTGTTTTTAAGGGTAACGGGTGAACAAGCTCGCGACGCACGGAGCCCGCTTCGCAGACGCACAGAAACGCGGGGTCTTCTCCCGGCCAGCAGCCCCGGGCCCTGCGAGCGCTCAGGCCAGAAAACGGTGCAACGGCTTTCTTGGGGGGCGTGTGGGAAATTTCTTACATTCGAACCTTCATTTCGTTAAAGCCGTGCTCTTCACACGCACCGAGAAAGGATCTGATGTGGGCGTGGCGCGGTTTGTGCTATTTTCCACGCCCTCGAGGCGGCCGGCTCCAAGCACGAGGGAGCTGGTCTCAGGAGGCAGAACGCCCCGCAAGGACGGTCAGTGCGCAGTCCTCCGTGCTCACAGAGGGGGCACGCCCCTCCGCACACGCACTCACACACAATGCACACACAGACATGTAACACAACATGCAATGCACAGACACGCGACACACACAATGCACACATACGTGCACGTAGCACACGAGCAACGCGTGCATACACTTTACTGATCACCTAATGTCGTGATCTTAGCTTATCTCTTGCTTGCCATGTATTTTCACAGAGCTTAAAATAGAACTTATTTTGGGCCTCCCTGGTGGCGCAGGGGTTCAGTCTCAGCGCTGTGAAGCGATCGGCAGCCACTGCAGCAGGAGTTCAGTCCCCGGCCAGGGAGCTACCCACACGGCGCGGCAGACCTCTCCTGTCTCCCCCGCTCCCCTCAGCACTGTGCTTCGGTCCTTCTGCCTGTTCTGCCCCCCGTTCTGTCTCTGGTGAATCCACTCACCCCCCCCCACCTCTGGCCTGCACCCCAACTCTTTGATGCATAAATAAATAAAATAAATCTTATATATATAATATATAAAACTTATTTTTCTTCTGCAGCAAAAACTACCACTGCCTGCCTCTCTCCGTGAGCTTTCTATTTATGAACTGAACTCAATGAACTGTCCATGAACTGAACTAAAACTGAAAAAAATAAGTGATATTCCAAATAAATATAATCATTTATAATTAAATTATCTTCTAATCCAACGAGTATGATGATTAATTTGGATTAGAAAAAAAAATGGGGAATACTTTCAAATACTGAAACATCATCGTTTTAGAGGTGAGAGTGTGACTCTGCAGGCAAAGCAGCGGTAAAGAACATGAAATTGCCCATTTTAAACCTAAAAATATGCAGTCAAATTAGATATAAAAGATTAAGAATTTTGGAAAAGATCAGTTAGGAATTTGTACAACAGATGTCTTTTACTCTTTCACATTTGAATTCAGCTTCACTTCTGTAATTTCGGGGTTACCACCCACAGCTCATTTGAATTCCCAGGAAATCTGGCACCCATGGGGGTGCCGAGTGAGGACCTTCACCCGACTCTGCCTTCCACACAGGCCAGAGTCCAACCCGGGCCGGACACCGGCCCCAGGTCAGGACAGAGGCGCGGCTCACGGGGCGAGCTCTGCACCGCGAGGCCGCAGCGATGGGGAGGGTGTGGTGCAGGGCAGGGCCGTGCGGGCCTGGGGGAGGGCGCCTCCCGGTCCCCGGGGACTCGCCTGGCGCGCAGCTCAAGCTGGTGACACCGCAGGGGACCTTGGCGGTCCCAGGTCAGCCGCCACCTCCTTGGGGTGCCTCGGAAGGCGCCACCTCAGGGAAGGGGGTGGGGTCAGAAGCCTTCCTGCAGATTCTGTTCACGCTTCCCGGAACCTACAGTCAATTCAGAGGAGACGGTGGCTGTGGGGGTGGCAGGTGCGCGGGACATCTCTCTCGTCCACACCCAACGCCACAACCCCACGGCCCTCGGGGTCCGCCTTTCTGATCGTGAGGTGGGAGTACCGATTTCTTATAAAATTTCACAAAAATACATGTGACACGTTGCGCTCCTACAAAGCACCAAGCGATGGAAATACTAAGAGCACGTGCTCCTGGGGGCCGAAGCCTTTGCCGAGTCACCGTGGCGATAAACAGGCGCTCGGAGGGGAGCTGCTCCCTCCCCACGGCCACGGACGCCCACGGAAGCGTCCCGCCGCTCCTCGACCAGGTCCGTCACCTCGCCCCGCGTGCCTGGAGGGGCGCTGGGTCTCGCGCGATCCCGCACAAAGACGCGCATTAGTGACGGACACGCCGTCCAGCGCAGCCCGTGGCCAGCAGAGCCGCTCCCCGGCAGACAGCGGTTCCCAACAGGGCAAGTCTCCCCCCGCGTTTCAGATGTTCTCTCCGGCGGTGACAGAGCCTGGTTAGAAGCTGCGGGCGCAATTCTCTGACCTGGCGTGTGAGGCGCCTGCACCGCCTCGCGTGCTCCAGCGCACGGCTCGGAAAGCTCGGCCTCTCAGTGGCAAAACCCCGTGTTACTGCGTTTACGATGGAACAGAGGAGAGGGGGCCATTCCCCTCTTGTTTCAGCAAACCTTTCCCCACGGGTGCAGGTTAATGGGACGATCATTTCTCCTACTGTCCGGACCTGCTTCACGGCAGGATCCAGGGCGCCGAGCGCGAGCCCAGCCCGGGGGGGGTTCTCTGCAGCAGTCGCTCCTCACTGCGGCTGCCCCGGCCTGCCAGTCACAGGTGATTACATCCAACAACATCTTCAAAAACAAAACCGGAGAAGGAACATTTCTGGGCATTTGGTACCAAACCTCGTCGCCGCCACACGCGTGGGCTTCTGGGGTGGGTGAGGAGAGCCTGTCAGTCCCTGACTCACCCCTGGAGCTCAGGCGCAGCCGAGCATCTGGCTCGGGCAGTGACCAGAGCGAAGGCCCGTGGCCAGGGCTTCCGGGCAGAGCCTCGGGGCGACCCGGGCGGCGCACCCGGCCAGGGACTGGGGTGGGCAGACCGGCTCCTCTCAACCCGGGCTTCGGTGCTGGGGCTCCGGCCTGGCGCTGGGGACCCTGGTGCTGGGGCTCCGGCCCCCGTTAGCAGCCTGGCCGTCGCTCCTCACGGAGACGAGGCCAGCGCCGCGGCCCGCGGTCTGCAGGCTCTGGAGCCCGGGGGGACGTCCCAGCCCCCGTCGCGCGTGGCAGCGACGCAGAGAGGCAGCGTCCTGGCGGCAACTGAGCCCCTGTCTGGGCGCAGGCGTGTCCCTCCTCTGGGAAACGCCTAACTCCGCTTCCCGGTCACCCCTCTGCTGAATATCCCGTCGCGCCCCCGCGACCGCGTTGCTGACCTGCCAAGACTCCGGCGCCTTCAGCTCCTCATTTCCCTAGAGACTCGTTCTCACGTCTGACAAAGTCCAGCTCAGCCCCGGGGGGGCAGGACAGGCCTAAAGCCCGCGTGTGACTCGGTGTCGGTCCCGTCGTGGGAGCAGAGACCCGCTTAGGCCCCGGCCCGACGCAGAGCCACGGCCGGGGCTGGGGGCGCCATGGGGCTGCGCCGGCCGCAGGGGACCCCGCGCCTGGGTCTCCTTCCCGCGGCCACTTCTGCCCGGTCCCACCACACACGGCCGCTCCAGGGTCGTGCACACGCCGCCTCCCCGGGGGCATCCTGAACTAGCAGTGCCCAGACGTCAGACTTTGTTTTCAAGGAGTTCTCCCCTGGCAGCGCCCCCCCCCAGTCACCTCGTTCCGCCCCTTCCTGCCTTTTGAGCCCTTCGGCGCCCCCAGGCCGTCAGCAGAGGTCGCGCCAGAACACTCAGGGCGTCTGCTCGGGGCCAGGGCCTGAGCTGCTCTTGGGCTTGGGGGTCCCTCCCTCGGGACACTGAGTGTTTCGGGGCCCCTGAATTGCACAACTTGAAGCCCGGACCCCATGGTGGCGGGGCCGGGAGGGGATTCATCCCAGGGAATGGCCCGGGCAAGTCTGTGCCCTGCTGCAGGAGCCGGAGATGCCCTCTCTGCCTCTCTGCCTCTCTGTCTCGGTCTCGCTCCCCCGTGATGCCAGGAGAAGACACTGTCCATGAACCAGCAGACGGGTCTCGCGGGACAGGGGTCTGCGCCGTGACCGGGACCCCAGCCTCAGGGCTCAGGGGTTCCTGGAGGTGCCCGGCGTGAGGCTCTGCTTTGCCTCGAGGGGTCCGGGACACCGTGCCTGAGGCTGTACCCTGGGGACCCGGTCCCTGCTCAGCCTTGAGCGCTGACTCAGACCCGCGGGGGGCGCCGGCCGGGGACCCAGCACCTGCAGACACCAGCGTGGGCCCGCAGAGAGCAGCAGAGGCCACCCGCCGCGTCACGCGGCAGCAGGGGTGCGCTCGCTTTGTCTGCTTGTTAGATCTGGAGGCACTTTTGTCACCAGCACAACCTCGTGCAACACCCACTACATCACGCAGGGGATCGCGGGACCGTTACATCGCACCCCTCGTCGGGCACCTCGCACCGGCTGCCAGGATGAAGCACGCAGATCCCGACACTGCTGGGGGCACCGGAGAGCGGGGGGCGGGGGGCACCGGAGAGCAGGGAGGGAAGAAAATGGGTGGGGGGAGCACCGGAGAGCAGGAAGGGGGAGCACTGGAGAGCGGGAGGGACGGCACCCCAGGAAACTCCCAGGAGCAGGCGGCAGAGTGAGGACCTGACCATCTAGGGCAGGGTCGGGGCTGGGGAGAGCCTGGGGAGCTGCGGGGGAGCACGGGGGAAGCATCAGGGGAGCATGGGGGAGCTGTGGGGGAGCACAGGAGGAGCATGGAGGGAGCACGAGGGGCTGTGACAGGACAAGTGTCTCAGGCCTAAGAACACAACACAGGTGGGCTGCTGGCTGCGGCTGGGCCCCAGGGAGGCCTCGAGGGGTGGACACCCGGCGCCTGCCTTCCGCAGGGGTGTGGGTGGCCCCGTGAGGGCGAGAGGAAGGCTGCTCGGACACCCCGTAGAGGGGCAGGGACCCTGTTCCAGCCCTGTGGGGTCAGTGGTCAGTGCGTCCCCTCCCAGAAAACACTCCCGGGCCGAGCCTGAGTGGCCGCAGCCGTGCCCGCCCGAGCGGCCGCCGCAGCGAGGGACTCACACACGGAGTGCTTGTGGCTGCCGTCCTTGCTGGGGAGCACCTTCACGCCTCTGGACTTGAGCTCGATGGCCTTTTTCACTGCAAGAGAGAAATCAGGCCATTAGCAGGCAGGACGAGGAGGGCGCCCGTGCCAGGGCGCCCGGGAGCTGCCCCCACCCGCCCACGCAGACAGGAAGCTCCAGGGCCCTCTGCCCCTCCACAGTGAGGCCCCTGCCCCCCGTCCCTGCTGCTGGTGGGTCTTGGGGCCCCGCCCGCAGCTTCCCTGGGGGGTGCAGAGTCCGGGAGTCCCCTGAGGGGCCTGTCCTGGCACCTTCAGGCCTGCAGGAAATTGGCAGCTGTGTGCGGTTCAACGCACTGACAACACCCGTAGAAGAGGGAGGGCTTGTGGGGGTGTGGGGCCTGCAGGGGGCCTGCGGGAGGGTGGGGCGTCTGCAGGGGGGTGCAGGGGACTCTGTCTCCGCCCAGCCCCGCGGCCGGGCACAGCGGCACGCGTGGGATGCAGCGCCAGGAGGAAGCTCTGCCGGCCACCCGGAGCGCTCTTCGTGCAGCGACTTGAGACAGGCCCGGGTCTGCGGCGCTGCTTCCCCACGGCAGCTTTCTAAGCTCATCTGTTTTGAGCATGACTTTAAATTTCTAGGAGTCAACGTTCATTTATAAAATATGACGTGATTTCTGGAGGAACAAGGCGAAGACGTGGAGGCCTGAGTGCAGCGGGGGGAGTTTCTGCGACCGCTCAGGGAGGTGCTTTGCCATTTTCAACACCCGGTGTTTAAGCTCTAACCTCAAAACACACAATGACGCCACCCACTCCCGCAGGGCGCCGCCGACCCCGCCTGGACGTGAGCCGTCCGGGACGCGCCCCAGAGGTGAGACGGACAGAGCCTGGCGGCGGTGTCTGTTGTGATGGCCACTGCACGGCCAGCCGCTGGGTCTGTGTGGCTGGTGACGCGACCGTGCGCCGGATCCCCCCCGCCACACGCTGCTGTCCCCACGGCAGCGAGGAGGTGATGGCCTGGCGGCGGAAGAGGGGGGCAGTCGCCATTTACGCAAAGACATGTTTACGCGCAGAACTTGGCAATAGCCCCAGGCCAGCCGGAGAGCGCGGAGGCCACGATTTCAGGGATAACATTTCCTAGCAAGGCCTCCCCGCGGCCTCCACAGACCCAGAGGCGCGCCCGCGCCACGCCCCTCGCGCCGCCTTCAGGAGAGAAGCCGAGGTCCGGGCCGGACGGCCGAGCCTTTCCTGGCGCTTGCTGTGGAGACGGCGTCTCACCTTGGAACTGCGCGCTGAAGCCCTTGCGCCGGTGGTTGCTGTCGGACGTGAAGTGCACGCGTAGCCAGTTCTTGCTGCTGATCACTGGGGACGGGAGCTTCATGCCGGTCAGCCTGCGGGGACAGAGGAGACGCGTCACACTCGGCAGCACCCCGGAACCGGCTCCCACCCGACTGCGTGAGGCTCCCCAGCAGCGGGGGGAGGGCGTGCGGGCGCTGGAGCCGGGACCCCACTCTGCTGACCCCGAGGGGGTGCATCACCAACACCCCTCACTGCGCCCCAGGCCAGGGGCGGGAAGGGAGGATCTGTGGTGTCACCAGCAACTCGGCCGCCGCCCTAGCTGGGAGAATCAGGCAGAGGACGCAACGCTGCCTTTTATGTCTGGCCCTCGGCAGCTCTGCTCACCGGACACCAGCTCAAATGCCGGCGTCAGCGGCCCACCCCCGCCCCAGGTCCCGGGGCGCTGTCCTGGCGAGGGCCGAGAGCCCCCTAGGGCGCGGCAGCCAGGGCCTCGGAGGCTCGGGGTGGAATGAGGATGCGCTGCGGCAGGCAGCACATCGACAATCAAATCTTTCAGAGATAAAAGTAAAATAATGCATTCAATAAAATATACGTAAAAGTAAAATATTAAATAAATCCCTTAAAAATAACTGATCTGTGGTTAGGCCTTTAGACACCCAACCCACATTCCATGGGGACAGAGAGGAGCGGCAGCTCGCGTCCCCCACAGAGGCCGCCGCCGTGGCGGGGGAGGACGAGCCGGCTCAGCAGCGAGGGAGCACCTGCGGCAGGTGACACGCGCAGGTGTGCGGGCAACTATGTGCTGGCTCCCCCGGCGCTAGGGGTGCTGTGCAGAGGCCACGTGCAGACCCCGCCTGCGCCAGCGGCCGGGGCGTGCGCTCTCCGCCGTAGTCAGTGGCACGCACGGGGACCCCTAGAGCAGGGCGGGGCGGCACAGGTGCAGGCAGGTGCTGTGTGGGGTTCCCGCCTGCTCGGCCCACCTCCTGGCAGAGAAGCTGTGGCGGGGAGATGCGGCCGGCCTTGGGGGTCAGGGGTTCAGTGTCTACTCTGGGGTTTAATGAAAGTGTGAGTGCCCACATCGCACAGAATTGCCTGCTCCGCGCCAGGCCCTTCTCCAGGTCTGTCCGCACAGGCCCGCGGGCCCCTGCGGCTTCGCCCCTGTGCGTGCTCGAGCTGCCCTCACAGATCTTTGCCACGTTAAGTCCTTCTCGAATTTCGAAGCTTTTGCAAAAGAGTTTCCCTCCAAAAGGGCCTCCTCCTACCGTCTTGGAAGCAGCCGCCCTGGCCTCCTCCACCCCAGCACCACTCCACAGGCTCCGCGGACCCGGCGGGGGCTCCCTGGCACCCTGCAGGGCGAGCCCAGGGGGCGGCGGCGCCATCAGCTCCCCCGGCGTCTGCACACGCCCGAGTCGCATCAGCGCTGCGCTGAGCGGTCACTGCGCTCTTACTTTTGCTCATGATGCGAGCTACTGGGCCAGCAGGCGCCTGGGACCACGCGGATTTGAGATCGTTCAGGGCGACCATCCCGGCTTTGCTCGCACAGATTTCCCACTCGCCTCGGGGGCTGCCAAGCGCGAGGCCGCCTGGCTCACATCCGCCTCCCGGATTCCCCGAGCGTCACGGGCCCAAACCACCAACAGCACTCACGGAAGCGGCGGGAAGGCCCCGAACAGGGCGGGCCGGGGGGGCAGGCGAGGCCGTGAGCGGCCAGGGCTAGGCCCAGCGGCAGTGGGACTTGAGCGCGGCCACACATGCTGAGAACACGCCCAGAGGGCGGGCGGAGACGCGGGGAGAGGCTGTGACAAACCCCGAGCTCGCAAGCCGAGGGGCTGGACCTCAGGATTGCGGGGACGAGCCCGGGAGCGGCCGTGCAGACCCGTGATGAGATGCGACAGGGACGAGCCGGGGGTCGGCCTCTCCGCGGGGTGCTGGCCCGCAGCCCGCGCTGCTGGCCTCACAGGACACACCGCTTGCCGGAGCGCCCACACCCGCTCGGCCGAGGGGCTGGGGGCTTCCGCGCGTAGCCCGGGTCCTCCCGGGATGTGTGATCTTGGTGGCCACAAACCCGTCTGGATCTAAACCGACGACTTAGAAAACAAAACCTCCAAGGCCTGTTTCTAATCCTGTCTGATCCAGGGCGGCACCGAGGTTTGCAGCAGGAAAACCGCGCCTGGCTCGGCTGCCACCCGCGCGGTCACAGCAGCTGGCGCGGCGCTGGGCCGCGGGTCGCCAAGGCCGGCCGACTCCTTCGTGACGGGAGACGCCGCAGGACAGGCGCCCGCAGGACAGGCGTCCATCGTGAACAAACACGCAGCTTAACACTAAGCTCCCGGCCGTCGGGGGACCCGGTGACGACACGGACACTTGAGGACACTTGAGGTCCCCAGGGTCTGTGGCTCTGAACCCCGGCGTTGAGGTGGGGGTGGGTGGGGTGGATGATGGAAAACCATAATGAACTCAGGACGAACACCAGCTGAGGGTCAGCCCGGCCGTTACCTCTGCCGCAGCTTGGTCGTGGCACGAGCCCTTCCACAGGCAGGCGCTGCTCAGGGTCCCCGCGGGAAGCCCGGGCTGGCGTGCTGTCCGCGGGTGGGAGGAGCGGAGAGGCCAGTCCTGACTCAGCTCTCGCTGAGCTCGCCCGCGGCCCCTCCTCCACCGCGCTGTCCTCCTCGAGTGCTCTGGCTCTTTCCGCACGTGCTCACCGACTCATGCCCCTCGCGCCTGGAAATGCCTGCTGCCTCCTCCCAGAGCCTGAGGGTGCAGCGGCCCTTCTCAGACGCCGCCTCACACCTGCCGTCACCTGGCCTCCCCCGACCCGCCAGCCTCGTGCTTCCCTGTGCCTCATCCGTCCAGGCTGGGCTCACGTGCCCGGGCTCGCCCCAGGGAGAGCGACTCCTGCAGACGCCTCGGCCAGGGCGCCACCGGACGCGTCCCCGCATCTGATTCAGCGGCGTGCAGAGGCCTGGGTTGTGACGCGGCTGGTGGCCGCGGCCTGCTCCCCAGGTGCACGCGGGGCGTGCGGGACAGCGCTGTCCACGCGCGCCCCCGGCTGCTCGGGCTGGTCCTGCTGTGCTGAGCCGCCGTGGACGAGGGAGGCTGACGCAGAAGCAGGACACGCACGCGTGAACCAGCACCGAGGCCTCGTGTTCCTCTTGGCCATCAGGAGGCCGCTGCTTTCTGCCTTCTCCTAGGTAATCGGCAGCTCTGAAGGAGTTAAAGTTCCCACCATTCCTGCGGGGTCGGAGCCAAAAGCATTACACGAAATCACTCTGACCACCGGGAAGGGACGAGGAATCGCATCTTGACCTCTGCCGCGTCGCGGGGCGTCCCGGGCGCGGGGCCTGCTTGCTGTTCTGACGAGCAGGAGGGAGTGCGTGCCCGGGGCCGGCCGCACCCACAAAGCTCACGTCCACAGGCGAGGTGGAAGGCTTCGCTGGAACACACAAGTCAAAACCAAAACTTCACATTCAGAGAATGTGGACGCAAACAGGAGTGTGAGCTGGGGCGGGGCGGGGCTCAGGCTGGTCCTCCACTTCCGAGGCACCTGGCAGCAGTGGCCGGGGTGGGGTGGGGGGCGCCACCCGCAGGGCACATGCCAGCTAGACCAGCCGGGCGCCCAGGGGGTGGGCTGTCGGGGGCCACCCCGTCTCCCCGCCTCGTGCACGGACCAAGCCAACTCGGGGTGGCGGGAGGAGCTCACCACTCTGGGGGCGGAACAGGAGGCGCGGGAGCGTTGGAGGCCTCTGTCCGGCCCCGCCCCACAGGCCCAGCCCCTGCCCCACGCCAGGACGCCAGGCCCCGCCCCGCAGGGCAGCAGAGGGTGACAGGAGAGAGTCAGACCGGGTGGGGCCCCCTGCGGCCAAGAGTCCTGCATTCTGCAAACATGGGGTTCCCCGGCAGTAACAGGCAGAAGAGCCGCCGACGTCGCACGCGGGGGAGCATGGGGGGCTCACGGCCCGGCTCAGTCTTCACAACACGTGTGGGAGCTAAAACCGGGATTCAGTGAAGGACTCGGCGCACGGCCCTGCCAGCTGTGAGCGGGGAGTGGACACGCACAGCCCTCGCGGGCCGCCTGCTGCTCTCTGCAGCCCCAAGGGGGGCCTGGGGCCTGCCCTGGGCGGGGCGGGGCCTGCGGGGTGGGGGCAGACGGACGCCTCCAACGCCTTGGTCCTCAAGTCCTGTTCTCGACGGGCAGCGTGACGCCCCTTCTCTCCCCAGGCGGAGGCAGAGCTGAGTCCGGCGTCTCTCACCAGGGTACTCGCTTTCTTTTCTCGAAAGCTGGTGCCGTAGAAACCGGCTCCGGCACATCAGGCAGAAAATCTATTACTAGGGCCAGATCCGCAGCGGCGCCGAGGACGTGCTGGGTTCCTGCAGCCCCCCACGTTCTCTGCCCTTCCTACACCCCAAATGATAAAAGCTGCTCTCAGAGGCCGGACCCGACGGTGCTCCCGGGAAGGGGGGGCTGTTCTCCTGGCCGCGGAGGGGGTGATCACGGGGGACCCGCAGGACGCCTGGGCTCTTCTCCAGCAGAGAGGGAGGCGTCCGAGCTGGCCGGCTCCGACTGCCCGGGGTCTGAGGGCCTCCCACACCTCTGATGGGGTCACCGCAGGCCGCTCACACAGGGCGTCAGCCCTGCGCCTTCCTTGACGCGAATTCAAGGGTGACAGTCTTGTCAGCCTGACCTGGCTGTGCATTTCTGCATAGTGTGAGCAGCCCCGGCCCCGGTCACAGCACAGCGCCTCGCCCGGGCAGGGGACAGTCCCGCAGACCAGCCAGAGGCCAGCCAGCCGAGCCTGGCGCCCGCGAGTCGGCCACGCTCATCTCAGCGTCACCTCAGAGGGTGTCGTGAGGCTCCGCGTTACCTCCCTGGCACCTCAGGAGGAAGTTGTGAGGACGACGCAGGAAAAAGCTGAATTACCACAGAGTTAATCCACATAAGCTTGACCTTGGAGCCTGTCCTAACTACAAACTGCTGTTAAACTAAATGATATGTGCATTACAGCATCTAATGGTTCATCGTGCCCCTGACTGGCACATAAAGTATTCACTGTACAAGTTCTCTTGTAAACAAACGTTTCCAAAACCCTCTTGC